TTTCCAAGAACCCATCTAAGACATTAGTGAGAACTTACTGTACGTCACAAACATTTAGCTCTTTTATTCTTTGCACCCTGTCCTGTCTGATAGGTAGTATTGTGATCTCTCCATTTGACAGAAAGGAACTGAGACACAACAGAGACACAAAGTCAAGTGACTTGTCTATGGATACCCAAGCTGAGCTTTGGAGATCAGTATCTTAACCCCTATACGATACTGTGTCTTAGAGAGTTTATATTGGAGGGTGTTTTGTTCTAAGCCAGAAGGCATGTATTGGAATCATATAACCTGGACTGGGAGAATCACGGAAGGTTTTCTATCCCAGAGATTATGATTTTTAGTCTGAGACCTGGGGCATAGGAAGAGGGGTCAGGAAGAGCCCTCTGCTAGGGTGAACAGATTGTTTAAAGGCCCTGAGTGGGGAGGGGGAAGAGAGAGTTATTTAACGCAGCTGGTTCCCAGAGAATGAGGGGAGCGGGCGAGAGCTGGTGGGAGCGGGCGGGACTGATGAAGTGAGCAAGGACCAGATCAGGTTTGTTGTTGTCGTTGTTTTAATCCTCACCAGAGGACTTGCTTCCTAATTTTGGAGAGAGTGGAAGAGGGGAAAGAGGGACAGGAGAAAAAAAGATCAATTGCTTGCCTCTTGCACACACCCCAGGGCTGAATCCACAATTTAGGCATGTGCTCTGCTCAGGAATCAACCCACGAGCCTTTCAGATTTGCAGGATGGCAATCCAGCCAACTGAGCCTCACTGTCCAGGGCTCAAATGGTTGGTAAAAATTTTTGTTTTTTTTTACCTCATCCTAAAAGCAATGAGAAGCCTTTGAAGTACTCAATGTAGGGAGTGACCAGATTTGCCTTTTAGATTACTCTAGCTATTATACAGAGACCGTATGGGAAAGGGCAAGCCCGCAGGCCTAAGATCAATTAGGATACTACTTGAGTCATCTAGGTGACCAGGAATTAGGGACGGTGAACAGAAACAGGTTGGGCAACTTCTCGTTAAATGCCTATTATCTAAATTAAATTTGCATATATTAAAGACAAGTTTTGTAAGGAGCACATCACTGCTGAAGAAGTTAGCACGCCGTGTGAGCTCTTTGGATAGGGGTGAGGTGGGGAGCACTGAGAGGGAAAAAGCAAGGATTTTGGAGCTACCTAATGTGGGTTGAATCCCCTACCAGATCCTTGGCCTTTAGTGTGTCATGGGCATAGGTAACAGCCTTGCCTTCTTGCTCTGGTCTGAACCACCAGCACCTCCAGCCTGGAATACTGTAGTATTCTACTATTCTGTACTGGTCTTGCCCTCCTGATCTGCTCTCTCACAGAATACCCAGAGTAACGATTTTAAAAACATAGGTTATGTTCCTCTTCTGCTAAAATCTTTCAATGGCTCTTCATTTCACTGTTTATTTTTTAAAATGAAATTTATTGGGGCGACACTGGTTAATAAGATCACATAGGTCCAAGTACACATTTCCATGTCACATTCCATGCCCACCACCCAAAGTCAAATCATCTTCTATTACCATATACCTCCCTTCCCTCTGGTAATCACTATACTCTTGCCTGTGTCTGAGGTTTTTGTTTTTCTTGCTTGTTTGTTGCTCTCAGTTTTATATCCTATATATGAGTGAAATTGTGTGATTCTTAACTTTTTCTGTCTGACTTATTTCACTTAGCATGATATTCTCAAGGTCCATTCATGTTGCAAATGGCAGTAATCTTTTCATTTTTTCAGTATATTTTATTGATTATGCTATTACAGTTGTCCTATTTTTCCCCTTCCCTTTACTCCCTTCCACCTTGCACCCCCCCTTTCACCAGCCTCCCCCCGACCTTAGTTCATGTCCATGGGTTGTACATATAAGTTTTTTGGCTTCTCCATTTCCTAAACTATTATTAACCTCCCCCTGTCCATTTTGTACCTACCAATTATGTTTCTTACTCCCTGTACCTTTTCCCCCATTCTCCCCTCACCCTCTTCCCACTGATAACCCTCCATGTGATCTCCATTTCTGTGATTCTGTTCTTGTTCTAGTTGTTCGCTTAGTTTGTTTTTGTTTTCATTTTTTAGGTTCAGTTGTTGATAGTTGTGAATTTGTTGTCATTTTACTGTTCAAAGTTTTATTCTTTTCTCTTAATTAAGTTCCTTTAACATTTCATATAATAAGAGCTTGATGATGATGAACTCCTTAAACTTTACCTTATCTGGGAAGCACTATATCTGTCCTTCCATTCTAAATGATAGCTTTGCTGGATAGGATAATCTTGGATGTAGGTCCTTGCCTTTCATGACTTCAAATACTTCTTTCCAGCCTCTTCTTGCCTGTAAAGTTTCTTTTGAGAAACCAGCTGATAGTCTTATGGGAATTCCTTTGTACAGCAACTCTCTCCTTTTCTCTTGCTGCTTCTAAGATTCTCTCCTTATCTTTAATCTTGGGTAATATAATTATGATGTGCCTTGGTGTGTTCCTCCTTGGATCTAACTTCTTTGGGACTCTCTGAGCTTCCTGGACTTGCATGTCTATTTCCTTCACCAGATTAGGGAAGTTTTCCTTCACTATTTTTTCAAATAAGTTTTCAATTTCTTGCTCTTCCTCTTCTCCTTCTGGTACCCCTATGATTCAGATATTGGAAAGTTTAAAGTTGTCCCAAATATTCCTAAGTCTCTCCTCATTTTTCTGAATTCTTATTTCTTCATTCTGTTCTGGTTGAATGTTTATTTCTTCCTTTTGTTCTACATCATTGAGTCCCAGTTTCCTTCCCTTCACTGTTGGTTCCCTGTATATTTTGTTTTATTTCACTTTGGATAGCCATCACTTCTTCCTTTATTTTGCAATAATACTCAATCATTTCTGTGAGCATCCTGATTACCAGTGCTTTAAACTTTGCATCTGATGGGTTGACTCTCTCCTTGTCACTTAGTTCTTTTTCTGGAGTCTTGATCTTTTCTTTCATTTAGACCATATTTCTTTGTCTTGGCACACCTATTATGTTGCAAGGGGCTGAGCCTTAGGTATTCACCAGGGCGGGGCAACCCACTTGCTGTGTTGTGGTGCTTTATCTGGGGGAGGGATCAGAGAGGAAACAATGCCACTTGCTCAGCTCTTGCCCCACTTTCAGTCACTTCCCCTGCTACCCAAAAATGAATTGGTCCCTTCTGGTGCTGATCCCTGGGTGGGTGGACTTGTGTACATTCTAGCATCCCATGGGTCCCTCTGAGGGACTCTCCTGCGAGATTGGGAGTTTCTCCCGCTGCCACAACCCTCACAAAGTTTTACAGCTAGAGGTTCTGCGGCTTTATTTTCCTGCACTGGAACCCTGGGTTGTGTGGTCTGTTTCCCTCCCCAGTTGTTCCTCCTGGTTTATCCATGTGAGAATGTGGGACCGCCTGGTCTGCCAGCCACTACCTTGCCATGCATCCTCTCCATCCAGGCTGCCTATCTCTGCCCTTCCTACCAGCCTGGAGAAATGTTTATTCTTTAACTTTTTGGTTGTTGAACTTTCATACAGTTTGATTTTCTGGCAGTTCTGATTGTTTTTTGTTTTTAAATTGGTTGTTCTTCTTTTGGTTGTGTGAGGAAGCAACCCATTTTGTCTGGAAGTTTTTGTCTTTTCTTATGGCTGAGTAGCACTCCATTGCATATATGTACCACATCTTTTATTCAGTAACCTAATAAAGGACACTTCAGTTGTTTCTGTTTTGGCCACTGTGAATAATGCTGAAAGGAACAAAGGGGTGCATATATCTTTGCAAATAAATGTTCTTGAATTTTTTGGGTAGATATCTGGAAAAGGGATTGCCGGGTCATATGGTAATTCTATTCTTAATTTTTTGAGGAACCTCCATACTGTTTTCTGTAGTGGCTGTACCAATTTACATTCCTACCAGCAGTGAATGAGGGTTCCTTTTTCTCCACAACCTCTCCAACACTTGTTATCACTTGTCTTTTTGGTAATAACAGCCTACGGGACCTCTACCATCTCTTTTCTCACCTCATCTCCTATTACTCTCCTTTTACCATCAGCCTCTCCCCCAAGTCAGAGACTTCTTTATTGTTCTTAAAATACAAAAGGCAGCCCTGGAGGGGTAGTTCATTTGGTTGGAGCATCGTCCTGGTATGCCAGGGTTGTGGGTTTTCTGGCTCTCTCCCTTTCTCTCTCTCCCTCTAAAATCAAAAAACAAATATTTAAAAAATACAAGAGGCAACCTCATGCCTCATGGCCTTTGCACTTGCCTCTTGCCTGTGCTTGAAATGCTAGTCACCTGACTTAGCATTCCTTATGATTGCTCCTGCATCTGACATTTACTCAAATGTCATCCACAGGGAAAGACTGAAAGGAGGATGAGAGTATTTTTGACTATTTTTCTTACCTTGATTACTGTAGCTCCTCCCAGGGGGGAACACAGGGATTTTTGTCTTTTCACTTCACTATTGCATCCCTACAGTCTAAAACAGTGCCTAGTTGATAGAAAACACTCAACAGATGTTTTATTATAATAACACAGCTAACAATTACAAAACACTTACTAAATAGGCCAGGCCTAGTTCCAAGCATTTTACAAACTTAACCCTCGTAATAATTTTATGAAGAAAATAAAATTACAGAAATGAAAGAATGAAGGAAACTGAGGTTCCGAGAAATTAAGCAATTTTCCAAGGTTATACAGCTCCTTAGGTGGAACGGCCGTTTGTAAAGTGAAATGAATGAAATTCGGTTTGGCAGTTACGGCAGGGATGGACATTGACACGGTAGGAGCAGAAGCGATCGGTTCTTGGAAGCGTGTACAACACTGAGCGCGCAGCGCACGCTCTGCCGTCAAGGTGTAAAGGAGGATGGTAAGGTGCCTTGCGAACTGTGAGGCTCAGCTCCACGGAGCCACCAAACTGCCATTACCAGCAGCCACTCGGTACCAGACGACTGGAAGCAGGAAGTGGCGGTGGGCGTCGCTCTGGGTGACGTCACTACGGCGCCGGGGGCGAAGGGCGGGGTAGGAGGAGGAGCGAACTGGGCTGGGGGGCGGCTGCACAGTCTCCTGGATCCCCAGGCCTGGAGGGGGGTCTGCGCGCAGCCGGCTGGCTCTGCCCCTGCCCCGTCCGGTCGCGAGCGGGCCTCCCTCGGGCCATCCCGATGGTGACCGGGTCCAGCGGAGCCTGAGCAAGGAGCGGGTCCGTCGCGGAACCGGAGGGCGGGAGGAACATGACATCGCGGAGGTGAGGAGCCCAGAGGGGCCCGGCGCGGCCTCGGCCGGGCCCCCTACTGCGTTCGGTCAACCCTGCCCGGGAGGGGGCGCCCCGGCTGGGCTTCGGTTGCCCGTCGGGTGTGGGGAGGGCAGGCTTCCTCCCAACCTCCTCGTTCTCCTGGGGCTGGGGCTCGGCCCCACCGCGCCCCCACCCCTCGAGTCCCCATTCATTTCCTGCCTCCCCGAGTTCCGGCTCCCGCAGCCCTGGTGATGCCGGTCTGGCCGGAGTCAGGTAGAGCCGCTGCGGGAACCGCGGACGCCAGAGGCCCGGCTCGGCGCCGCATTCCTGACCCATTGCCTCATGAGAATTGCCTCATGGTGATTCCGAAATAACCCCGCTCCCTCGGGGAGGCTCTTGGGCCCGGGACGCCGGAGGGGAGGGGAGGGAGTTGCGCGGGGCCGGGCCCCCGACGGCTGAGCTGCTGGAGTCACTGCCTCTTACGTGCGTTTGGGGGCTTCACTCAGGATCCCTGACCCCTTTATTTGCGTCTTTGCATCACCCCCTTCCCCCCCTCACGTGCCAAAAATGGAAAAACTGACTGTATCTGCAGCTATTAGAAGTATTTCCTTCCTCTGCGATCTTCGTTTTTTGAGACATCAGACGGAAGGGACCCGAATCTCTAGCTATTTAATCCTTCACCACAACCTTAAAACTCAGGTAACATTAATCACCCCTCGTTTTACGGATGTGGAAACTGAGGCTCAGAGGTAACATTGCTAGTAAATGGCAAGACCTGAACCTGAGTCAGAAGGATTAGTGAATTAATGAGATCCTTTGAAAGTTCAGGGTCATACTAATAGCTAATATTAAGCTGTTGCTGAAGCCAAACACATTTAATCTTCAGTATAACCTTAGGAGCTAGGGACTGTTATCCCCTTTTTAAAGAGGAGTAAACTGAGTTCCAGAAGTTAGGTAACTTTCCTAAAGTCACTGAACCAATAAGTGATGGAGCCAGAAACCCCACTGTTAATCGTCATGTTGCTCTTATTTTTATAACTGTTGCTAATCACTTAAAAACATTTTTTTTAGATTGTATTTGTTTATTTATTTTTTAGAGAGAGGGGAAGAGAGGGAGAGAAACATCAATTGGTTGCCTCTTGCACTTGCCCAACTTGAGGACCTGGCCCAAAACCCAGGCATGTGCCATGACTGGGAATCAAACTGGTGACCTTTCAGATCACAGGCTGGCACTCAATTCGCTGAGCCACACCAGCCAGGGCTATTACTAATTTTTTAAGCCTTGTGTTTGTGGTTAAACAGTAGTGTGACCTGTTTTCAGATGGTGATCTTGCTATTTCGTGTCGCCATTCTTTATATACAATTCACATATAGGACTTACTGTTTAGTCTTGACTCTTTGGGTATGGTCAATATCTTCGACATTTGAAAAACTGTTTCAAGGTGTTGGGGTTATTTGAATGAGAGACTTTTCAAAATATTAGGAATGCCTACTCTAAATGCACCTGCACATTATTCATCGGTGGATCTAGAACAAAAAGTGGAAGCTTTGGGAGTGATTTTGGTCAGGTCTGTTGGCAAGTGCTTACAGATCTGGGTAGTATACAACTGCATTTCAACAGAACTGTGTATAGCCTCAGATGTTGTACTTCTTTAGGGAGCTTTTAAATGAAATAGTTGTCTATTCTTTAATCTGTCAAATAGTCATTGAGCCTTTTGTTCCTTATGTCTGCTCTTCCAGACAAGTAAGGATCTGCTTCTTTGGGAGACAAAAGACTGGGGGCTGGGGATGGGGTAGGGACGGGGTAGTGATAGACCCTACATTGTCCAGCTTGTTAGTCTAGAAGCAGGAAAGTGTGGGTATAGTGAAAACAGCAAGTGATAAAGATGACAGTTGAAATGGAGTAATTCCTCCTCTTTTCCAGCCATCCTTGACTCACCTGTTAATAAGAAAGGCCTGCCACCTAAAAAGGCAGGTTATGAACATAACACGTAATTGGGAATTACAATTTTTCAGATTATTGGTGTATTTTTTATCATTTTGAACAAGCTTTATTGAGGTATAAGTGACATGCAATACATTACATATGTTTAAATATGCAATTTGGTAAGTTTTGATAAACATACACACTTGTGAAACCATTACCACAGTCAAGACAATCAACATACTCATCGCAGCCTGAGACGGTTCCTCGTGCCCTTTATAATCCTGCCCTTGCCAGGCAACCACTGTTCTGCTCTGTGCCCCTATACAGTAGTTTGCGTTTCCTAGAATGTTAGATTAATGGAATTTCATATTTGACTTTTTGTGCTGAGCATAATTATGTTGAGATTTATCCATGTCGTGGTATGTATCAATAGTTTATTACTTAGTTTTATTGCTTAATAATATTCTATCGTAGGGATGTACCACCAATTGTTTATCCGTCCATCTGTTCATGGACATTTGGGTGGTTTCCTGACTTTGGCTGTCACAAATAAAGCTACTCTGACTGTTCATGTACAAGAGTTTGTGTGGAGATACGCTTTCATTTCTCTTCAGTACCTACCAGTGGTATGGCTGGATCATATAGTAGATGTATATTTAGCTTTTCCAGAAATTGCCAAACTTTTTTTTCAAAGTGGTTATACCATTTACATTCCCACCAGTAGTACAGGTGAGTTACAGTTCTTCCACATACTTATCAGCCCTTGGTTTGATCAGTTTTTAAGTTTTAGTGGGTGTGTTATGGTATCTCATTGTAGTTTTTAAAAAGGATTATATTTATTTATTTTTACAAAGAGTGTAAGGGAGGAAGGGAGAGAGGGAGAAAAACATCAATGCAAGAGAGAAACATTATTGGCTGCCTCTTGTACGCGCCCTGACCCTGGGCCCAATCCAAAACCCAGGCCTGTACCCTGGCCAGGAATCCAGCTGATGACCTTTTGCTTTGTGGAATGATGCCCAACCAACTGAGTTTTAATTTGTGTTTTCTTTGGTGACTACGTTGAACATCTCTTCATGTGCTTATTTACTATCTGTATATCTTCTTCGGTGACATGTTTAGTTGATGAAATATTTTCCGTCTTTTATTTAGTTTGTTTTCTTAGTATTGAGATTTGAGAGTTCTTTATTCTGGATACAAGTCCTTTATCAGAATTGCAAATATTTTCTCTTAGTCTGTGGCTTTTCATTTTTTTAAAATAGTGTCTTTGAAGAACAGAGGTTTTTAATTTGGATGAAATCCCTTGTATCATTTTTTTAAAAAGGGATAATGGTTTTGGTGTCATTTCGAAGAAATCTTTGCTTAACCCAAGGTCTCAAAAGTTTTCTATAAGTGTTAAAGTTTTAGGTTTCTGATCCACTTTGAGTTAGTTTTTGTATGTGGTATGAGGTGTGGATTCATGTTCTCTTTTTGGCATATGTATATCCAGTTGTTCCAGCACCACTTGTTGAAAAGACTGTCTTTATTGAACTTGCACCTTTGTTTCAAATCCGTTGTCCATTTATATGTGAGTGTGTTTCTGGACTCTATTCTGTTACATTGGTCTGTTTTTCTGTCTTTATGCTAATACCACATGGCCCTCATTATTGCAGCTTTATAACAAGTCTTGAAAGCGGATAGTGTCAGTCTTCTGACTAGTTCATTCTTCTTTTTTAACCTCAGTATTAGTTCATTCAAGTAGTTATTCAGCCAGTCAAGTTAAAGCAGTAAGAAGGGCAAAGATTGCTTGTCCGTATGGCTGAGAAAGAGAGGAGACAAACACATGAATAAATAAGAATTCCAGGTAGTAAGTGATAACTGCTGGGAGGGGGAAAATAAACCAGAAATGGGGAGAAGGTGTTTAGTTTTGATGAAGAGTTTAGGAAAAAAATCTCTCTGAAGAGATGATCAGATGAGCCAACTCTCGAATGACAGGTATTATTCTGAATTTTGTTTTGCTTAATTATTAAAGTAATTATTTTTGATTCCTGTGTTTACAGTCTATATTTTGTATGCAGTTAGTAATTAAAACATCAGTATAGTCAGTGTACTGAAAACTGTCAACATTACAGGCACGGAAAGGAAGGCAGTGAGAAATTAAATGACATTTCCCCAGATAATTTAGTGAGGGTGGTACTGAATTTAAATTTTGAGATTGCTTTCCTGCCCTACTCTGCCTCGTTCAGCTGACAAAACTGGCTGCATTTTCCGTTTTCCCTCAGTGTGTGGTATAGCCTTTACATTTGCTTTTGTTCCTCTGAAAGATAATGTATGATGACTTGAGCTGAGAGGAGCAGAAAAGTTAGCTTGCTCTGAGACGCTTGGCTTTTGGTTTCTCTGTTGCAGGTCAAGTACATTTTGTCCCAGGCTCTCCCTTGTGGCCATGTTTGTTTATCTCCGGTGGGAGTAAGTAAATAAACTTGCCTGGCTGAAAAAGAACAGTTCTACGTCTTTCCAGTTGAAACTGGGATGTCTTTTACTAATGCCATGTCCCAACGAAAGCTAAGGTTTTTGGCCAGAGCTGCTCACGTTCAGGAGCCACTGCTAAGAGTCTTTACCCTTCCTGCGCATGGTCAATGTGGAGACTGTTAGTGAGTTGGGCAAGATCCTGGGAAAGCAGAGCCAACCCCTGTTTGTATTTATTTTACAAAACAATAGAGGACACTGTTTATTCCTCTTTCCCTTTGGGAAACACAGACAGCCCTTGCCATTCAGTACTGACCTTTACTGTTGATTGATTGATTGATTGAGTTTAGAGAGAAGAAGAGAAAGAGAAAGAAAGAAACTTGACCTGTCCCACTTATTTATGCATTCACTGGTTGATTCTTGTATATGCCCTGACTAGGGATTGAACCTGCCACTGTAGCATATCGGAATGACACGCTAACCAGCTGAGCTACCTGATCAGGGCTATGCTGCCCTTTCCAGGGAACGGAAAGACAAATAAGGAAGGGAAAGGCTGATAGGAAAGAAGTTGATGCATTTGAAAGATGGTGTTCGAGGAAAGCCCTGGGGATGCTAGACAGCTGGAAAGATGAACAAGTGGGTC